GCTTTCCCCAGCTGCTGAGCACAGGAATTTCCGTAGTGATTATAGGAATTCTAGTAGGAGTGTACAGAAACCAGTGAGAATTCCTCAAAACTTCCTCACAATTCTCATATTGTCATCATCATCATCAGCACAGCATGTGCATATATTCCCTCCATTGCCGTATCTGCCGTTTTTTCGCTCTGTAAGGGTGATGGTATGGCATCGACGGACCTCCCGAAGTGTTAAGTCGGAGGATGCGTTTGGTCATTTTGAGGCCATCGAGGTTTGATAGACTGATTACTGGTCTCTGTAGATGTTAGTTCATCAACCAACATGACATGTGATAGCTTTCCACCATAGTAAAAGTATAGGAACTCGGGTAGAAGTGTACACAAACCAATGAGAGTTCCTCAATATCATCATATCGTCACCGACACGTGTAGTTGACCATGTGCTTAGTTCCCCCTCCCCATTTGAGATTTGTGATGATAATTTAGTCGTATTCTTGTATGATCAGATTAAAGGGGAATGGTTATTGGAGTTGGCACCAGGGTACTATAACATCGATGAGTTGCCCAACTCCGAGACCAAACGACAACTAGCGCGGATTAGGAAGGGTATGGATAAAAAGAAGATCACAGGAGCAGGGGGACGGTAGTTGCTACTGGCCCCATAACGTCGTTTACACTGTCGTTCAGCAGGATATTGTGTTGGGGGGCTCGGGCGGCATCGGTAAGAATAGGTTTTATCATTGGAGTTTCACCACCCGTTTTACGTGAAATGGCGTCGTAAAACTCGGTGAAAAACGCGGTATTCGCGGTGATATGCAGTAGTCGTGAAATATATTTTTCACTAGTGTTCTTCATATCATTAGGGTGATGAAACTCCAATATTCATCGGAAAGAATAGGTTGTTGTTTTATTACTTATGGAGTTCCGGACGTCCACGTCGTCGTCATCGCCATTATCGTCATCCAAGAGGAAGCAATGGCATGCGGCTGATCGTCATGAGAATTCTTTAGATGAGCTCGATGGAGGTCATCAGTCGGAAGGGACGCAGACTGCCTCTACTGCATCTGATCTTGGAAGGTCGATTTCGAGCGGCGACGGTACGGGAGATTTCGGTGTGAAAAGTCATAGATTTTGGAGAGCTCTTAAGAGGGTATTTGCTAAAGAGAAGATTGATGATGCATTGACTGACACGAGTAGTAGTCCTAAAGAAGAAGAAAAACGGAAAGATGCGCAGGTGGGAATTGAACCTGCGCCTTTCGATGACGAACTTAGTGTGGGTGACGAGGTTCCGTTGGACGATCGTGTCTATGATCCTGAGGATGTCATATCGTGCTTGTCGGCTTTCTCGGATCCTTCACCAGCCAGATGAGAAGCTCTTTGACGACTGAACTTGTCTATTTCCTCGTGCTCAGTTTTTGTTGTTGCCGCCGTCGTCGCCTCGTTCCTCTTGTTGTATTAAATGATGATGACTAGCAATGCTTCTTATATTGAGATTGGTTTATATACTCGTGATGTGGTGGAAATGTGGTATGTTAATATTTTTTCCTACCAAGTAGACCTTTCTCAGATGTGTGAGCCAAAGTGTTCGTCTTCGACAATAATCTACTGTACTGTTATTCGTTCCTACCTCAATTGCATCTGTCCTCAACACCGTCTCGACTTGCGTCCATGGGGGTATTTTCGGGCGAGGAGTGGTATGAGAAAATTTAAATATACGATTATTTTATAATTTCAACCAATGAACCCGAATCGGTCTTTGCGTTTTGCATTTTTCAGTAGTGTTCATATTTCTTCCTATACGTGGTCGTTTTCTCTACTATTCACGTGCTATCGTGTCTAGCCTGGGGCGATGTAGTTGTTCTCAAAAATGAAGACCTCGAGAGAGTGGCTGTTGGCACTTTTCGTCCTGCTGTAGAATCGTCGCTACGATGAGATTTTCTCAAAGTTTCGTTCCCATCATTTGGCTAAGGCGTGTTAACCTCAAGTAGTCGCTGAAATAGCGACGTCAATGCTTATTGGTTTCGCCGCTACTACTTTCGAACTCTTATAGGGACAGAAATGTACTCCTTTTTACTCGGACATATCCAGACTGATGCGCCTAGCCGATAAGGAGAAAGAATGGGTGAGTTGTTAGTGATACGATGATGGACACATGGTCCTCTGATATAGCTCCGTAAAGAGAAACATAACAAGAAGAGGGATGAGGCTGAGGCTGCTGCGAGGAAGGTTAAAGCTGCTGATGATGAGAAGAAACAATAGAATTATTATTTGATGTGACACTATCTTGATTTCGCCCTGTATACTCCAGTGTGTTATAGTTTTAGTAATTCTCGGCGGTCTTTGTGTGGATCGATACGAAGTCGTTGCTAACCAGGGCACAAGACAAAAGCGGTCGAAAAACCGAGTAGAGAATCTTTAATAAGGGAGTATTCGCCTGCATCGCGAGATGTTAGTTGGTTTCAACCTCCGAAAAGGTCGTCGCTTGAACTGTTGAGGAAACTTAAACCTCCGAATGCAAATACAACGTTGGTTAAAAGGGACAATTGGTAATATTGATAGAACTCCAAAACTGCCTGATAAACAAATCCCGTGGATGAAAGTGGATCTCAACTGGAGATTCTCAAATGTCATCAACTGCCTGTCAAGGTCTAGCTGAGCTAATTATTGTCATAAATACAACGGAATGGTCGGTATACACCATAAGGTAGAATATCAGTCGTTGAAATAGTCCTAATTGGCCTCCGAACAATCCTATACTTGGAAGTTATTTACAGCCAAGAAATACTGTGTAGTTTTGTATGGAGTCCATTCTGATCATCTTTCCTCATTGGGTTTTAGTCAAGTCTATCATCTCCAGTGTTGGAATATATGTGAAATATCCTCGGCTGAGCTCAGGAGTTTCCATTACGTAGGAATTCGGCTAGAAGTGTACTCGATGAGATCGCAGACTATGATACAGTGAACTTCAAACACAATTCAACAAGATTGGGTATGGAAACTAACCTCTAAGAAAAACTGCTATCAATGTGACCATGTCGGAGATAAAACTGAGTACAGTAGTGGGAGATCAGATCAGCATTTGATGAATTGGGAAATGCCAACCGTAACCGCGAAATGTACACTAGACTGTAGTGTTAAGCAATGATGCACAAAGAGAAGGAAAAAACGAACAGTGATCGCCCATCAGCGTTTTACTTTCGTCCAGAAACGCAAAGCTACGACCGAAACGGCCGCGGCAGCCGACCAAAGCGGTACTCCCATACCAAACCTGAACAAGACCTGCACGACACAACGCCTTTACGGATGACTTACATATCAGCCGCCCAGGCTAGTGCCAGAGGGCCCACGAGCCCACCAAAATCCTGTGCAGTGCGTAGAAGCGCCAGCGCGCTCGCCCTGGTGATAATAGTATAACAACAATTGTAAACAACTATTACAACGGTATACTATTACTATTCAGTAACAGTAATCGTTGTAACAGTACATACAATAATGCTATTCACCCGTGCGCTCAG